AAAGGAAGCTAAATGACATGCAAATATATATTAACTTTTGTTTTTCAATTAAGAAAAGCTAGCTCCCAGACAATGCTAGGGTTTCGCTGCCTCTGTGGCGCATGCAATCGCCCTAAATGGACAAAAAAGCAAGTTGAATCTTTAGCAGCAACAATGGTTCAACTTTTGGGTCTGGGTCTGCCAGACCTGGAACCAACTGGTGGATAATATTGGGGAAGATCCCTAAGAAACTCCCCCCACCCCGCAATCTGCAGTTTTTCCATTGCTTTTCATCAGCTTTCTGGTTCCACATAACTCAGTAACTAAAAAACTAACTTGCATACCAAAATCCTGCAACACCCTTTATTAAAACAACAACAAAGCGACATCCCATCTCAACTCGTAACGCTTGGCCCCAGAACGATGCTTGCTGGCAGACGGATGGAAATGCAGCAGAAATACATCTGGCTGGGACTGCTGCTCAGCCAAAATAGATGCACAGAAGACCCTCCGTGGATGTAACTATCTGTCATGGCCTGTCCAGTCTCGTGTTTTGGTGGTGGGTGGTTGTTGTCTCGCTGTCCCCATTATGGCCATAAGACTTGGTAGGCCAGCTCTGTCTTCTGCCACTTGGGAAGCCACTTCTGCCACTGTGGGTCTGTCTCGTTTTGTACTGATCTTTGGCCAGCCTGATCAGCAGGAACTTGTGCTGAAAAGGCTAGGAGCAAAGTTTGAGATGAACAGAACTGAGCTAGTAGATCAAATGCTGGCATTGTACAGCCTGACTTTTTAATGTTGTTCAGTATCTTAAGAAGTACAACATTGATCTCTTAAATGTATGCATGAAACTGCTGATTGAGGGAGAAAAGAGATGGTTTGAACTGTAAAGAACAAACACAGGAACTTGTGCTGAAAAGGCTAGGAGCAAAGTTTGAGATGAACAGAACTGAGCTAGTAGATCAAATGCTGGCATTGTACAGCCTGACTTTTTAATGTTGTTCAGTATCTTAAGAAGTACAACATTGATCTCTTAAATGTATGCATGAAACTGCTGATTGAGGGAGAAAAGAGATGGTTTGAACTGTAAAGAACAAACAGGCGACGTTGTCTTAAGCTCTGGTGGTCAGAAGCTGTAAAACTCCTTTATGGAAACCCAGAGAAAGGCTTGCAAGCCTGAAAGCTTGTCTGTTTTTACCAGCCCTATCAGTTGGTCTAAAAGATACCGCCTCCTTGCTAGAATGAATAAAGTGATTTATGGAAACTGGAGGAAAATGTTTTCACAATTCCCCTTTGCATGCCAGAGGAGAAGGGAATAAAATAAAACTTTATAAAGCTGAGAGTCTAGTCGTGCTCATTTGAGTCCCCTCTGTGGGGGAATAAAACCCCCTTGCTTAGGCTGGCATCCTGCTTTGCTCCTTTAATGGTTAGACCCACTTCAGAGAGCATTACTGGGGAAACTGAAAGCTGTGCTGAAAAGCTAGTAGGTGACATTGGGAGTTGCCTGATCTATTTTATCTTTTAAAAGGACAAGCTCTGAACCAGGCTGTGTGAAGACTGAGTAAGATGTGGAAGCTTCACAGTCATATATACAGGAAACCTTGAATCATTTCTGAGCTTCCTGGAAAATGACGTAGTGAGAGGCCGTTGTCGTGTTTACTAATGATGATCCCATAGCTCTGACTGATCAGCTTAAACAATGTCTTGACTACCAGCACCTCAGTCTTGGGTGCAAGTGGACTCAATTTGGCTTCATCCAAAATGTCTCCTGCTATTAATTACTAACAACTGAGCCCAGGGAACGGAGTGTGGCCACCCAAATGGTCTGTTTTCTTTATCATGGGGAAGAAGGTTTGCTTTGTACAGTGAATATTTTTATACATTCCTGGCAGAGCCTGAAAACTTCGAAACTCTGATAGTCCCCAAGCAGTTCAAAAATGTCTCCTTTAAATAGAGCCTTGCGGAAAGAGCATAGCTGTGTCTTTAGGACAGAGTCTGCCCTTTTTTCAGGAGGAGGAGGTAGTAGGAAGGGACAGAAAGCTCCTAACTCTCCTCCTACCCATTGCTGCTTTGAAAACATGCTTGACTTGGGCAGGGGTTTCAGTTCTTGCTAGCCCAGTCCTCTGTCTGAAGTGGCAGGAAGCGTGTCCGTCATGAACAGCAAAGCCCCCCTCCCTGCACCCCAAACCCATATGCACAGCTCTGGAGTAGTCCATGGAAGCGACACTAGGGAGCAGATTAAAACCAGGCTTCAGCAGCAGTGCTACGTTTGAGAGGTTTTGTTCACCCGAGATTCCAGGCGCGGGGATCGCTGGTAGCTGGCCAAGGAGCTTGGATGGCAGCCTACCTGTTCCTCAGCTCGCTCAGCTTGCTCCCTCCCCCCCGCCTTTCTTTCTTTAATTGCATAATATGCTAGAAAATGATCTGGATTTGGGACTTATTTTTAACCAGAAGAGGCTCACTTCACCCAGTCTCATTTTGGATTAAACAGCCAGCGAATGCTTTTTGAAGCCCTTTTCTTTCTGCATTGAGACCCTGACTTCTTTTGCCCCCTCTCCCACTTCGCAAGGGCTCTTTGCTTTTAACTGTCAGTCAGCCGTTCTCGGGGGTGTTTGCACGTCCCTAGTTACGTTGCCTGTCTGCAGAACCAGTCTATAATGATTAAATTACTGTTAGACCTGCCTGGTGCAGTTGTTTTGCAGGCACGGATCGTTCTGGGGGAAATGGGACTCGTACTCAAATAAGGAAGGCAAATTTTGTCTCCCAAATGACAGCTAGGCAATAGATGTATAATAAAGCTCCTATGAGAAGGGGTCAGGTTTGGGGTTAAAAATCTATTTGCCTCTTGCACCTTTTCTCTGGGTAGCTGGGGCTGGAAAGCATCTTCATTTTATTTTCTTTTAAAACAAGGCAGAAATCTTCATGCTATTTTATTAGCGTTTTGTTGAATGGAGGGGGAGATGCAGGGATGAACAGGGAGGGTGGGATACCAATAAAAGGGCACCTAGGTCAGTGCTCCAGCACCTCACCGTTCTACCTGGGAAAATGAGGAAAGCTGAACGTTTGCCCTAAGATGTGGAAGCAGAGTGAGCACAGGGTGATGCTCTGCAATGCCTGCGATCCTGCCCCTGTCTCCAAAGGACTCTTCCTTGGCTGATCTGAACTAGCCTATGGGACAGGCAAGTGAAGCGTTGTAACGGCCTCTGCTCCTTCTGGTTTGATTTAGATGTGGCAAAACAGCTTCTCCAAGAAACTGAGTCCATGCAGAGAGTGGGGGGGAGAGTTGGAGGCAACCTGCCACCTCACAAGCACTGAAGTGCCTGTCCCAGGGCCTGTGCTGTTTCACTTAGTGATTGTGGATGTTTCAACAAACCAAACCCTGAGTAGTCACTCACTGGAGATGGGTGGTGGTGTGGGGCAGAGGTTTCTGCCCCTAACAAACACCTTTCTTTTCAGGTGTATGATGTTAAATCATGCCTCTGTCACAGCACAGCAATTGCTTCATTCCTTGGCATTTGGGGGGATCTTCATGTCACAAAAATAACGGTGACAAAATGAGGCTGGGACTGCTGTGTAGAGGAGCATTTCCAGGTGCTCTGAAACATCCTGGAAGAGACAGCACCAGGGATTGAACTGCCCTACTTACTCCTAGCTCAGAAATTATTCATGATATGGAGGCAAGTTTGGTAAAACTCCCTTTGTTTCCTTCTTCAAAATCTGCCATCTGAGCAGGAGAAAAGCACACACGTTTATGCTGATTTTTGTTCCTTAAAAAGCCCTACACTGTTCTTTTGTTCTCACATGAAACCTGACATGGATGTAGCCCTGAGTGAGAAGCACACTTTGATGGGGGAGGCAAAGACAAATGGTGCATCTGGAGTGATGCATCCTGGCTCTGGTGCAAAAGCTATTCTGTCTGTGGCTAGCAAGCTCCTGAGAGTCTTACCAGAGGAAGCAGAGGCTGCTGGCATTGCCTTAGCCAGGCAGAAGCTGAGGATTTCAAACACCATCATGTGGAAACACTTCCCGTACCCAGAAGAGCACAGCCCATCCCAGCTCTCTGTCAGAGCTGCCATTGCTTCATGTGCAGGTGGGGATGCAGCGCATCTCCCTCGTGCAAGGGGCAGGCAGGGCCACGCTCCCATATGGATTCAGAGTGTGGGACCTGGGGGTGCTCCTGGGGTCTGGCTGCTGGAGGGAGATGCTCAGTGCTTCTGGAGATAGCAAACTCATTTGAAGCTTTCTGAGGCAGATGCCCCTGTCGTCAGACTGGGACCCAGGTGCTGTCAGGATTGAAGGCCCTGGCTGCAGCAGCAGAGAGTAATGTAGAGAATGGTCTTGGGGATTAGACTAAAAGACCTGATGGATCATCATCTTCATCTGTAATTTATCTAATTCTGGGTGTAGCAACTGCGTTTTCTGCTGTAGTAGTTAAGTCCTTAGGCAATCAGTTAAATAAACCCACAAGGTCATATGCATATAGCTTGGTGTGCTGAAGGGTTCAATCTCCCGACTTCACTGGGGAGGTTTCCCTCAGTATACGATTGCTTGAGCCTCACTCCCCTTTCCCCTGTGAACATGCTTTTGAGTAACAAGGGAAATTCGTGGTAAGAACCTCGGTGTGTAAGTTTTGTGTTCCCAGACATAGTACTGCATTACTCAGGAAATTTAAAGGAACGTTCTATATAGCATCTGTAGCTTGTGCACCTGTGTACAGATATTTGGGGGCTGTACACTTAACATATGCAAGAGGGAAATATGCTGCCAAAAGTGCAAGGGTTTGAGTTTTATAGATGCTGTTTGAATTCCTGCTTGGAGTCTACCAGTGTAGTGGTGTTTAAGCACAACGAACCAGAGCACTGCGCTAAGGTGTGTGCTGTGAGTTACTTACACGGACAGATTTCCACGTGTGACTGTTAGGAGTTAAGCAAAGAGTGGCCAATCTGTCCGCACCACCTGTGCCAGGGGGGAGTAGGTGGACTGGGACAGTGACTTGGGCAGGAAGAGCAAGCGTCAGGCTTTGCTGGCTTCATCAATCTCTTCTCTTTCCTTTCAGATATATGTTGGGGAAAGGAGGAAAGCGGAAGTTTGACGAGCATGAAGATGGGTTGGAAGGCAAAGTGGTGTCTCCTACTGACGGTCCCTCTAAGGTGTCTTACACCTTACAGCGTCAGACTATCTTCAACATTTCCCTTATGAAACTTTATAACCACAGGCCATTAACTGAGCCGAGCTTGCAAAAGACAGTTTTAATTAACAACATGTTGAGGCGAATCCAGGAAGAACTCAAACAAGAAGGCAGCTTAAGGCCCGTGTTCGTGACCGCTTCGCAGCCTGCCGACCCTCTCAGCGACAACTTCCGCGAGGCGCAGCCGGCGTTCAGCCACCTCGCCTCCCAGCCCCTTCTCCCCACTGACTTCGTAAGCACTATGCCCCTGGAGTCCTGCCTCACCCCAGCCTCTTTGCTCGAGGATGACACTTTTTGCACTTCCCCGACTGTCCAGCACGATGGTCCGACAAAACCACCACCTCCTGCTCTCCAACCAGTAAAGGACAGCTTCTCCTCAGCCTTGGACGAAATCGAGGAGCTTTGTCCAGCACCTACCTCCGCAGAGGCAGTAGCAGCCCAAACAGCAGCCGATGACTCTAAAGATCTCCCCAGTGAGTCCAATGTTCAAAAGCCTGAGGGCCTCCCGGAGAGCAGAACGGCTGAATCCAAACTCATGGACTCGCTACCTGGCAACTTTGAGATAACAGCTTCCACAGGGTTCCTCACAGACTTGACCCTGGATGATATCCTGTTCGCTGACATTGACACGTCCATGTATGATTTTGACCCCTGCACGTCTGCCACGGGGGCTGCCTCAAAAATGGCTCCTGTCTCAGCAGATGAGCTCCTAAAAACTCTCGCTCCGTACAGCAGTCAACCAGTAACTCCAAATCAGCCTTTCAAAATGGACCTCACAGAACTGGATCACATCATGGAGGTGCTCGTTGGGTCTTAAAGTATAGAAATATAGCAATTTTTTTGTTGTTTGAATTATTTTAAGTACCAGTATATACACTCGGTAGTATTTCCATAGTCCCACCCCCAATTCACAGCACTGTGCATGCGTCCTTGCTTGCCTTTTTTGAAAAGAAAAGGATCACACTAGTTTTTGCTTCAAGCAGAGTTGGAGTGCCTTCATCCATGTCTGACCACTTCTAATGTATTTTTTTTAAAGTGGTTCCTCAAGGAAGACCGAATATCCTGGGATAGGGAAGAATATGTATTGCAGACAATGGTATGTTATTACAAAAAAAAAAGAGGAAAAAAAAATGGGAAAAAAATATGTCAAAGCTAAGCACAAGGATTATGTTGGGGAAAGCTGTAAATTGCATGTGCATATTTGTCTATTTTTTCTATAAGTTTTATTGCAAGAGGTAAAAAAATTTTATTATTTAGATAATCTCGATACCATTTTAGCCCTGTATAGGTTGACTTAGCAATTCAGCCTTTGGAGGCATTAACCTGCTCCTCTTTAAGTGTTGCATTTACATGGCTGTTTAGAAACTGCTGCCCAAATTTATTTTATATTTTTGTACAGATTCTGCAGTTTATGATATTGTTTTTCTAAAAACAAATGCTGTTTATACACACAAAAAAAAATAGCTATTTTGATAGGATTTGCTCACATAGTTCCTGCATAATTCAGATGTACAAGAACCACTTGTACTTTTATACAGAGTTGTAATGTTTTATATGTGTATGGTGCAAAGAGAAAATTGGATCAAATAAGCCTGCAGTCGGTTTCCCTGAATGCAAACAAACAAAAAGTGCTTTAAGAAAGGGCTGGGAGCTGCTTCTGTCGGAGTTTCACAAGTGTTTGCTCCCTGCTGTACCCACTGCGCACTACTGTGATTCCTGAAACTTAGAGCCATGTCCTTTTCCAACACGTATGTGAAGCAGTTGGCAGGAAACAGTTGTGGAACTTCACCCGGAGAGGTCCTGAGCACCACCACCGCGGCTGCAGCCTCCCCGCTCCGGTGTCCCCGATCCCGCCCGCGTCCCCTTGCCGGGGCATCCAATCCATCCCGCGTGACGTGGAGCGCCTTAACACAGCGGCGGATCAGCACTTCCTCACCCGAAGCTCCTGGGAATCATTCTGAGGGGGAACGTGCCCGTTGCCCACCGAGAGCCAACTCTCAACCTTCTTGACCGACGGGCGTATGAGCGGAGCGGGCAGAAGACTGGCGTTGACAGCACCCACTCGCCCTTTCTTGGAGCATTTCTCCTTCCCTCTCCCCACCTCACTGTGCTAAGTGCTGAAAAAGGCAACTTCAGTATTACTGCAGTGAAGCTCATCTCTTAACCTGCACTGGATGGACTTGCTTTAATATCCATTGCTGTTGAAACTGGAGCCAGTCGTGTTACATCACTTGGCATCTCGCATAGGGTTGGTTTCTTGTATCAACTGTGTTACCTGCTTTACACTTTATAGACCCGTTTTACAACGAATATACAGACACAGCTTTCTATGCATGGTCCCGTTCCCCCTAACACCTGAGAAGTCTTCTCATTACTGCACCAATAGCATTTTTTAAGTTCATTGTGGTGTACATTTAATTTAAAAAACTCTGTTTGCAATGTATCATGCCTATTGCTGAAGTTGCTCTGGCATTTTAGTTTTTCAATGGTACTTTAGCTGTTGAGTGCCGGTTACAACCTGTATTGTTGACATGCCTATGGCTTCTTTAGGAATAACTTTTATATTTATTTAAGAAATTTTAAATTATGTTTTACGTCATTTGGCAATATTCAGTCCATTCTGCTCCCTTCTTGTCATGGATGAAATTGGGTCTTGCCTGCCTTGTAAGGAGGCAGCTTTTTATAAATTGGCACTTTAAACCAGGCCATATATATTTATTAGTATATAGATAGATGTAACTTAGATATGCACACAGACACAGTGTAAGAGCAAGTACAGTTTGCAATGAAGGAACTCCGAAACGAAACATGTCATCTACAAGTACAAAACGTGCTTCTGGCTCCTAATTCACCTGCCAGGGTGGGACGTGGGGCTGAGGGGGGAAATAAAAGAGTTAAGGGGGTGGGTTTGCTTTCTTCTTTTTCCCAAGCCGAACTCCGCGGGGCAGTGGGGTACTAATGGGTTTGCAGTAGTTTCCTTACATAGACTTCAAAAAAGAAGGTTATTGTTTCATCTAGAAAACCATTGACCAAGTATAGCTTTAGGGACCATCAGAAGTGCAGGGTGGGAAGCAGGGGAAGGCTCCATCTCATGTCCAGCAGCCTCTAAACCTTGCTCAGACACAGCCCTTGCAGGAAAACAAAACAGCCCTGCAGGATTCTGCATCTCTTGGAGTAACTGGGAAGACATGAGCCAAGTGAGGGTCGCGTGTCTGTGTGCACAAAGCTGTAGGCACGTGGTGCTGTCAGCACTACCAGGTTTCACACGGTAACGTGGTAAGATCTTGTCTTACCATAGTTAAAAACTGATCTATGGCGTGCTTGTTGCTGCCTGGTGGTGTTTTTGGGATTACTTACACATTTAAACACATAACCGTATGCCGGGCGAAAGTTGACATCGATGCCATTTTGGAGAGCTGTGCTGTCAAGGTGGGGTTACTTGTGATGTTTTTGTATCGAGAGGAGAGGAGCCGGGCTCTAAATCCACTTTACCACACAGCAGATGATGTCTGTGTATCCTTGGTGCTGAAGCACATGTCCTGTAGCAGAATCCGTAGAGGAATCCCATAGGGTATAACCTATGGGACTGGGCAAAAGGTTAGCAAGGTAGTGCAGCCTACAGTGGGAAGGGCTCAGCTGCAGCTTTGCCCCTGTGCAGTCACTTACTGTCTCTAGCGTGGCCTTTGCCGTGGTCCTAACAGCAGAACTGCAGCCACATGTGGAATTGCTCCACAGCAGGGATGGACATTGACATTAATGTGCAATGAAGTGACAAGATGGGAGCAGAATAAAAGAGCTTTGGATTTGAAGTGATTTTTTTTTTTCATAAATTATTTATTCTTTTTTTTTTTTCCTTCTGTAAATATATTTATTTTATTGTGAAGCTAACAACATCTGGATTGTAACATGTACAGAATGTATGGTAGGAATGTATCCTCTCGTAGGAATGTAAATCTGTATGAAAAAGGGTGTGGGAGCCAGACTCAGAGAACATGAATTGAGTTCCAGTCGGGATACGCATGGTTCAACACGAGTATTTTTGTAACTCCCCCCACTCTTTTTCTAATATGGGTCTGGTTGTTTGAAATATGCAAAAAAAAAGGTATGGATGAGGGACAGTTTTAGGTTCAAAATTCATCCTAATCAGGCTCCTACCCCGTCCACGCTGGTGGCATCCACGGGAGGAGGCAGGAGCAGACGCATCATCCCCATCGTGCTGGCCTGGTTCATGTTTGATAAAGGTGAATCTCTTTCTGACAGTCACGGGAAGCCCAGCTGAAGTCTCCGGGGCTGGAGAAGGTCACGGGATGTCCCCTCCAGCCCTAGAAGTGGTGACAGAGCCGTGACCACCTCATTCATTGCCAGAAGGTGAGGCCAGGCACGAAGCCAGGACCGCACTGTGCACGTGCGGCAGAGAGTTCAGGCTACCTGCGCTGCCCCGTGCATCCAACCAGCCCGTCCTTGGACACCACAGGACCACACAGCCCCATATGCAAAGGAAGGGGAACGTCCCTCTTCAAGAGACCGTCTTTGAGCAGTGTCCTAGAGAACTGCACCACGCTGGCACCTTCCTTGCAGGCAGCGAGGAACGCACCGCGGTAAAGCCGCCGTCGGAAGCAATCACTGCGAGAATAAATCTGGACCTTGTGAAAGGTAATTTGGTTTTTCCTCGATGCTGTGTGGCGACAGCCTGGGTTGTTTTAAACCAATGTTCTAAACCCAAAGTTTACACTTTGATCACCATTAAATTGAGTAAATCGCAATGGGTCCTGTCTGACAAACGGTTTAATTCACTCCAGCATATTGTGAACTTCTCGTTCTTGTTACAGGGTTTCTTTTAGTTTGGTTTTGGTTTTGTTTTCCCCCATCAGGTTTCAGGATCCTGCTTCTGTGCAAGTTGCTTTCAGTGCTTCTGTTAATTAACGAGACTGAACAGTTTTAAAGAAATTAGGTTGGTTTTTGTTTTTTTTAAGCACTTTTTCTTTTCTGTTTTTTCTTTCTCCCACTGAAAACTAAGCAAGTTCTGGAACCTCTTTTAACACACAAATCACAGATAAAATCCCAACCTCAACTCCTGTCTAGTTCTGAGTGTTATCCATACGAGCGCCTGTAAAGGCCAGGATTCTGGATAAAGTGTAAATAGTGTGACATGTTCAGTGCATGGATTTTTGAACAGGGCTTGTTATTGTCAAAAAAAAAAAAAGAAAAAATATAAAAAAAAAAGAAAAAAGGCTGTATTTCCCCTTCCCCTCCCACAGACCTTAGAGCTGTGCCTTTTCTATGCAATATTACAGACATATACATCTGAAACCAGATTACTGTATTCACATGTAGGTATGGGCTGTAATCAAAACAATTGGACAAATGTACATGGAAATGAGCAGTCTTACTTTTGTAGTTTTATATTATACAATAAACAATTAAAATAAACTCTGGCTTTGATTTTTTCTTCAACAAGAGGGGATGGAAAGGGGGAAACAGAGCCCATGGGCCTCCGCCACCATGGGGTGCCTGCAGAGGAATCACAGACTGGTTTAGGTTGGAAGGGACCTTAAAGACCATCCAGGTCCAACCCCCTGCCATGGGCAGGGACACCTTCCACTAGAGCAGGTTGCTCACAGCCCCTGTGTCCAACCTCTGGGCACCTGCACAGGGAAGAACTTCTTCCTTACATCTAAGCCGAATCCTCCCCGTCAGTTTAGAGCCACTCTCCCTTGTCCTGTCACTACACACCCTTGTAAGAAGTCACAAGCACACAAGGGACAAGCTGCTCTGCTGTCACCCCGTCCACCATAGACAACGGGCCACCTTGTGCGAGGCCTGTTGCACATAGAGGTGCCCTCAGTGGCTGTGTCCTGGCACCCTTTGTGGGTACCACGTGCCCGGGGATGCTCGGCCCTGCTGCAGTGTGAGCTGCAGCTCTGATTGTGTGGCTTACCAGGGTGCCTCTTGGTTAGCCGAGAGCAGAACCCATCCAGGTTTAGTACGTATAATGCACCAGCCTTTAGGGCATTAAATCCCAGCAGGAAACATCCGATACCTTAATCCACCGCTCCCTTTATCAGTGCCCTATTAATCCTCCCCCATCCGCCTCCCAGGTGACTGGTGTTTGCGTTCAGGACCAGCCAGGAGGGAGGTATCACCCCATCTTTGGCTCCAGCCTTTTGTGGCCATAGAACGGTTGGGGTTGGACAGGACATTAAGATCATCTAGATGTTGATCTGCACGTGCAGACCAGCAGTGCCATTTGGACAGCGAGTCCCCCACCACCAGCACACGCTTCTCCTGCCCTCCCATACCCAGAGACACGACTGCTCCACTTGGTGTTTCTACAGCAACCCAAACCCAGACAGAAGCAGCAGTTTCCCCCATCCCGACGTGCCGCACATGGCACCTCACGGTGCTGGTGCAGGAGCCAGCACCGCAGCGCGGGGCCCTGAGCACCAGCTGCTGCTCGGGGACAAGCGCCAGTGGGGACACCAGAAGCGCCAAGGGAGGATGAAACCCGCCCAGGGGCTGGATTTGTGCCCGCTCAGCAGCCATGGCGCAAACACTGTCC